TGTGAAGAGGTTTGTCAGTGCTGGATGTGATAATCTTGTGAAGATTTGGGGATATAGGTTTGTGGTTATTTGCGTTCATTAACGTGGATTCAAGGCTTATTGAGATGTACGTGTCTAGGGAGGACCAACAAGCATGGATTGAGGAGGAGATCCTCGAGGGGCACACTGACTGGGTGCGCGACGTCGCATGGGCACCGAATATTGGTCTTCCTCGCTCGTACATCGCGACTGCTTCTCAGGTATACACTCCCTCTCCTCAATATTCCCCTTCACGATACTAACCGCACCTAGGACCGCACTGTCATCGTCTGGACAAAAGACTCGCCCAACTCGCCATGGACGAAGACGCTTTTGAACCCTGCTGGGATGTCCGGCGCGAGCGGGAACAAGTTCCCCGATGTCGTTTGGCGCGTCTCGTGGAGCCTTGCGGGCAATATCCTCGCTGTGAGCTGTGGAGACGGCAAAGTCACCCTCTGGAAAGAGAGGTTAAAGGGTGGCTGGGAGTGTGTTAGCGAGATGACTTCTTAGACTGTCTATTTATTTCATTAGATAGATAGATAGGACTCGTCATTTCGGGTTGAACGTTGATTTGGCGTAAGTACGCGCGGGGTAAAATCGTGAATATGTATTAAGGCTTTCGAGTATTATTTTTTTTGTTCTCCCTTCCTTCCTTCCTTCCTTCCTTTCTGTCCTTTCCTACCTTTTCTTACCCTTTCTTACCCTTTCTTACCCTTTCTTTCGATTCGACGTAATTATATTTGGTGTTCGGAAAGAACCTCTTCGCGTGTGGCAGTTCTTACTTCTCTTCAGTCGCTTGTGGAGTGTTCAGCTTCGCCTGTGGAGTACCTCGGAGTACTTAGTTTCGCTTGTACGCCACTTAGGGTACTCAGCAATGTCATCTTTCCATCAATTAGCTACCTCTCTGTCCATCCAGCACTATCATCCCCTGCGCGTCACATGGCCCATTACCGAATTTTGGTCTTTATCAAATTCTGCACACTCAACGAGGCCAAAATTAGTACAATTGGCCTCAAAATGAGGTGCGCGACTTCCCACGGGGTGATAGTACCTACCTTTGCTTGTGCATTGACAGTATTACTCTACCCCTTCGCTTATGCACGATTCACGTCTGTATAGTACCTACCTTCGCGTGTGCAGTATTCACCTTCGCATTTGCTACCTAGGCGCAGTACTACATTTCCTTTGAATATCTCGGTGGCCGTGGGTACCTGAGTATCTGCCGGCAGGAGAAGTCGCGCATCACCGCTAAAGGAAGTGTGACGGAGAATCAGCCTTGCAACCTGTTGGAGCTCGAAGAACTATTTCTGGCTATTTGCGCTAGCATTCTGCGCGCATATCATGTACTAAAAATCGCCTGAAAAATACGTGCGCATACTGATAAACTAAGATAAGTCGTGGCTAAGCTTAAGATAAGGTCTGCTTCTAAACACGAGGGGAAGCAGATCCGCGATCATGTGGGTGCATATGGAGGCGATGGGCGTGTTTCTCCAGTGTCCTTTCCAACAGTCACCTCCCTTCACGTTTCACCCGCCTCTTTCTTTCCTTCTTTCTTTCGTTTCTACACCAGCAAACTCAACATTCGGCAGCGAGACCTCCAACAAAGCAATGCACGATAACAGCGATGCAGAGATGTCCTCTGTGGAGGAACCACTTGCAGGGTCTAGTGTCCAACCGAAGGTGCAGACGCAGACACCAACACCGTCAAAGGGTATGAGGAAATCGAAAGCATCCGTATCTAAGAGTTCTGCTATTACAGCTCCTGCTGCGAAAGTGGTAGAGAAGCCGAGGGAGGTGAAGCAGGTGAAAGAATATAAGATAATGGGACAGTTGAAACCGGGCAGGACAGTGCAGTATTCGACCCAATCCTTGTTCAGTACGTGATCCCGTTCTGCTATCATTCCATGCATTGCATTAATGGCTTTATCTTAGCTCGTATTGCTGAAAGCGAGATCGAGCTGAATCCAGAGTACCAGCGAGGTATGTGACTTTACTTGCTTGCTTATGGGTTTGAACAACGCGTTCCTTGACTCCTGTTTGATCATTATCCTTCCAATGAAACAATGCATAACGCACGTTTACTAATTCGCTTTGATTAGACGTTGTCTGGTCCGATAATAAACAAATCCATCTCATCGACTCCGTTTTCCGGAATTTCTACATCCCTCCTGTTATATTTGGTAATCACCTGCGTTCCTTCTTAAATAATTTATTAAGCTCATGCATTTATAAATTAAGCTTTGCGGACAGAAGACAATGGAACGGATAAGTAAGCTACCCACCTTCCGCTTGTAAAGATGAACTGGTTCATTGATTTTATGCTTGGCGATTTCATAGATGGATTTGCATTGGTATGATACCATCAATAATGTCTGAGCGACTGTGAAATGATCCTAACCTTTTTTGAAACAGATGGCAAGCAGAGGTTGACCAGTATCTATAGGTGAGTTGCGCTTGAAGTGGCACCGATAATTTGGATAACTGACCTCCACGTCTACTTAGGTTCATGAAAGGCGAAGTACGTATAATTAATTTATAGCGTGTATCTTTTTCTAATTACATACAATACGTTATCTAGATTCCCCGTATGTCTTACTTTACAAATATAAATTGCAACTTGACGCTCATCGACCGACCTTGCCAACACAGATAAAGACGCGTATGTCTTCACATATCTCCTTCCGTCTATCCATTTTAATTCTGTATGATAGGATCACTGGGGAAAGATATTGGTTCTTGGATAATGGAATAGGCTCGCAGAGGAAAACGCTCCTACCCGCGGCTATTACGAGAAGTTTCGAGAATAAACAAATAGTTTGTATCGAATACGACTCGTTGAACCAAGAAGATGAACGTGAAGTCTTCCAAGTAAATTCTTTATTTCTATCTCATCTGAAACTAGGAACTCACATGAACGCAACCAGAGAGTGCAATTGGGCGTTGCGCTTACTACAGCAGGTATGTCCTGCCCACCTATTTATGCGAATATATTCTCACGAGAACTACAGAGAAAATGCAATCCATCACCGGCCCCTGGTCTCGCTTCGTGCGTGAAATCGCCGACAGATATTACCACACCGACGGGATCTCCGGTTCTCTCGAAATGGACGAATCCCGCGCACGCGACTTCCAAAACATCGCTCGCGCCATTTTCTGCATTGATGCTCTCCCTCTGCACACACACGGGACACATCAACAGCTCGAACGCTGGCTTCAGAAACCCGACGAACCGAGTGAAGAGACTAAACACAAGATCGACGATACGTTCAGGATATTCAAAGAGATTGCTTGTGAACCCGAGTATCGGACGACCTTTCTCAGCGGTTTGCCTAGCAGGATCGCACCGGCAGAGTTTGTGATGATGGCGGTGTGCATTGCGGAGAATAAGGATCGGTTCTCGCTGGGGATGTTGGCGAAGGCTATTGGTATCCTGAGGAGGGAGACGAGGAAGGATGGGATTGATGTAAGGACGAATTCGAACGTCTTCAAGAAGATGTATGCGATTTTGGATGGGCAACTGGTGAAGAATATTAAGAATGAGAAAGGGGAGCCTGTTGCGGGGAGGCCGATTAGGGAGGGGACGAATGGCGTTAAGAGGTTTTATGATGAGATCAACGAGGACAGCGATGCGGATATGGAGGGCGAGGTTGAAGAGGTAAGGCCGAAGGCAAAGCTGAAGACGGGGAAAAGTACGAGTGCTAGGGTTAAACCATCTTCAACCGCCGCGACCACTCAGGATCTCCGCTCGCCTACCGTTTCATCTCGCCTTTCCCCTTCGAGATCGCCTTCTGTCGTCAATGAACAATTACATCCTGTATGTCATCTATTTTTCTCTAGTATCCGAATTCGGCACATGGCTCATTTTTTCTTTCTATTATAATAGCCTCCACCTCCCGAACCAGCTCCTCCCAGGTTCCCAAAAATCGAAGCAGCTAAACAGGAAGCAGCGCGATTAAACAATAGATCAGTCGACCAATATAGCTTCAACACTCGAGCTGCCTCTTCAGCTTCATCTTCCGAAGTCAATAATAAGACGTTCCAAGCTTCAAGTTCTAGGCCGAATTATCGTCCAGAAACACCATCAATAACTACGCTCGGAAACTCATTATCCTCAATGATTATGAATGTCCAACAACAACAACCGCCTTATCCTCCAGCACATCTACATTCATCACCGGCAAACCTACCCTCAATCCAGACTAAAAATCTCTTCGGCGACCCAAGTGGACCCCTCTCGGCGTCTGCCCTGGCTACGTCTCCTATAGATGACACACGTAGTCAAACGAGTAGTCGGTTTACAGTTGATAGGGACCGCGATGAGAGGTATCCTCGGGCGAGGAGTAATACTACTAGTACTCAGAGAGAGTATAGGGAGCGCGAACCCGAGAGATATCGGGAGCCTAGAGATTATGGCAGCCTGAGGGAACGAGAGAGGGATCTTCCTCCTAGGGAGAAGGATGTCAGTGGTCGTCCGTATCCGAGTCGAGGTCGTGGTAACCGGATGGGGTCTAGGGAGCCTGATTATTATGATAGGGATAGGGCAAGAGATAGGGAGAGGGAAAAAGAGAGGGAAAGGGAGCGAGAGAGGGAGCGAGAGAGGTATAATGGTAGGAGTGTGAGTAAGACGGAGCGGCGATGATTCGTTCCACTCCCTGGCCTTCTCATTGTTTGCTCATTAGCTCCCATCCTTTTCTTATGTGCACGTGTTAATAAATTAGGCTGATACCTTGGTGCACTATTCATTGTTCGTTCCTTTGTTGAATATTCGCTTTCTTATGCTTGTCGAGCTTTTTTTTCCAACATACAGTTTTTGTTCTTTGTTCTTGTACACCTACCATCCATTGTAGTTATCATTCATCCAGAGAAGTAATCTAGTCTATCTATTTTAATATGGGACTTTTTATTTGCTTGCTCCTTGCTCCGTTCAAGTTGTCAATATAAACTGTTTATGTATTTAGCATCAAAAAGTTAAAAAGGAGAGATTCCACAACGGGGAATCGAACCCCGAGCTGCAATCTCAGCGCTTGTATCGGGTGAGGCTTTGAGTCAATGGAGAAACGTGAAGAAACCGCGCGAAATGCTGTGTGAAAGACAGCGATGTTAGCCATTACACCATTATGGACTCGTAATATTTTATAGGTTATGCATAATTTAATAGGAATGAGGGAGGCAGGAAAATTGAATCTGAAACCAACCGTCCAACTTGAGGCGCGTTTATTTATACTCATTAAATACTCATTCAACTCAGGAAAGAGTGTTTCTATCAGGCAAATTCAACTAGAAGTTAGTAACTTGCGGCTCTCCTCCATGTCTTCCTAACGCTTCAGCTTCGAAGCCTATATTCAACCAGCTCTGCTGTAGTAGAGGGTAATTGTGACTGATAGGGGATGTCATCGACCTGGTATGTATAGGTCTTCTAAACTAGATAAGGCTACAAGTATATCCAAACTAAATAAGTAAAACAAAACAAAAAATATCGATCAGTCCTTCTTTTGACCGATTGATTTACGCCAGGCATCTATCATGTCTACCTGGACGTTGGGTAAAACGGGCTGATGGGTCTGTAAAATTGCAATGTCAGTGTCAAGTTGATGATCGTTTCGGACGTCAATCTGACCTTGTACTCCATACTGAATTCACCCTTTCCTTGGGTGACGCCACGCAAGGCGCTCGAGTACCCGAACATGTCGTTCAAAGCGACCTCAGCTGTACATGTGAATTCGTCTTCACGAATTTCGTTATCGATGATGAGACCACGACGCTTGTTCAAGCTGCCAATAACAGCACCTGTGCAGAAGATCGTGGATAAGCAACGAAGGGCAGTATAGGGCTAGAATGTGCGACATACTTTGGAACTCCATAGGCGCAACAACTTCGACTTTCATGATAGGCTCAAGAATGACGGGTTGAGCAGTCTTGTAGGCTTCGCGGAGAGCACCGAAACCGGCTGACTTGAAGGCCATTTCGTTCGAATCGACAGGATGAGTAGCACCATCCTGCAAGACGAAGCGGATACCGACGACAGGATTTCCGGACAATGATCCTTTCTCTATAGCTTCGTAGAAACCCTATATCACAACTCTCAGTTCAAATATGACACGAATACACCATGCAAATAGACATACCTTCTCAATGGCAGGGATGAAGTTATTCGGGATGTTTCCACTCATGACCACGTTTTCGAACTTGACGTCTTTGCCTGTCTCGGGGTCCATCTCCATGGGCTCGATATGACCAATGACACGACCATATTGACCAGCACCACCGGATTGCTTCTTGTGTGTATACGCGAAGTTTGACCTGGCTTGGATGGCCTCACGGAAGGCCACACGAGGCTTGCCGGTAATACATTCTACGCCATATTCACGCTTCATGCGTTCGACGTAGATATCAAGATGTAGTTCGCCCATACCGGAAATAATAGTCTACGGCGCGACAATTAGGCTAAAGATGGACGGGAAGATGGATTGCACTTACCTCTTTACTCTCTTTGTCGACGTGAACCTTGAAGGTAGGATCTTCCTTCTGGAAACGTTGAAGAGCACGAGAGAAGTTGGGGGTCTCTTGACCAGCGGGCTTCAACGATAGGGAAATGACAGGGTCAGGGACGAACATGGGAGTCTACGAGGATAGTCAGTACTTGGATAGTACGAGCTGATCGTGAAACCTCACCATTGTATAACTGGTAGTGCCATCGTTGAAGGTATCACCAGTGGAGCAATCGACACCGAAAATGGCGCAGATTTCACCGGGGCCGATCGAGTCAATGTCCTATACGCTATCAGCGAGCCTTCCAACGCGGACATTTCACAATATACAAACCTCCATTTCGTTACTGTGCATGCGGGCAAGGCGAGGAACCTTGATTTTTTTGCCGGTCCTGGCATTCCAGATCATGGCACCCTTCCTCAAACTTCCTTGATATACACGCATATAGGTGAGCTGACCGAATTGACCTTCCTCCAACTTAAACGCAAGGCCGACGAAAGGTGCCTGTGCAGCGGGGACCAGAGGAACCTGAACGTAGGCACCCAGCTTTCCTTCTTCAGTGGGCTCTTCACGACGGGATGCATCAGTAGCCACGACGTCTGATTCAGATGGGTTGGGCAAGTATGCGCAGACACCATCGAGAAGGACTTGGACACCGGTGTTTTTAATAGCGGAACCGAGGAAGACGGGACTGAACTTGCGCGCGATGGTTGCACGGCGGATGGCGTGAACGAGGTCAGCGTTCGTAATTTCGCTATCGGTCAAGAATAGGTCGGAAAGAGCCTCATCAGAGTCGGCAACAGCCTCGATAAGTTCGGCGCGCTTTTGTTTAGCAAGCTCGAGGAGTTCGGCCGGGATCTCATCGGTTTCACGGATGATTACACTAAACATATTCAATTAGCAGGCTGTTCAGTTCAGATGTTATATGAAGAGCCTACCCTTTTGGACCCTCGTTGTAAATTGCCTTCCAACCAACCAAGTCAATAACGCCTCGGAATTCCGCTTCAGAACCAATAGGGACGTGAACTGAAGCCGCATTTATGCGCAATTTGTTACGGATTTGGTCCACAATACGCCATGGGTTGGCGCCAGGACTAAATCATACATAGGCATTTAGCTGGAAGAGAATATAATCACTAATTGGATAACTGACCGATCCATCTTGTTAACAAACGATATCCTAGGAACATTGTACCTTCGCATTTGACGATCGACGGTAATAGTTTGACTCTGTGAGATGGGCTATTAGTCCTTATTAGGCTACTATAGGCGATAGTACACGCCTGAACACCAGCAACTGCACACAGGACCAAGACGGCACCATCCAATACTCGGAGGGCGCGTTCGACTTCAATAGTAAAATCTACGTGACCTGCATATATGTGTGAGTGCATTTGCTTTAACCATAGATAAGCTAGAGCTGCATACCGGGGGTATCGATAATGTTAATCGCGTACTTTTGCTTCTCGCCAGTAAGTGGCAGCGTAGCATTCCAATCGCAGTATGTAGCTGCACTTTGGATGGTAATACCCTTTTCTCTTTCCAGCTCCATACTGTCCATCTTAGCACCGACATTATCTCTTCCTCTAACCTAGAAACGCTCTCAGCACAAATGCCTCTAGTATTGGGACGGTACGCACTTCATGGATTTCCCGAATCCTTCCGGTATAGTACAAGATACGCTCAGTTAGCGTAGTCTTTCCCGAATCAATATGCGCAGAGACACCAATGTTCCGTTGGTTACCCATTCGTAACATGTCTTCAGGCATGAGCTTGGGAAGGACTGGCGCAGGTTTCGAAGTCGAAGCCTTGGGCTTGGTAGCAGTAGCAGTAGCGGCCGATGCATATCTAACAGATGTATTCCTCAATGCATTCCATTGAACAAACTTGCCAGCAGACAATGCATTGAGTCTACGAGGCACGGATCCGTTGGGACACAGTCCTCGGAAACAGAGCTCTGACAGCTCGATTCCAAGACGCATTCTGATAGCCTGAAACATAAGGAACAATGTCAGATCAATAACGATGTCTTAATTGCAGGTGGACTCGCACTTTTAGCTACGACCTGGTTGTTCCAGCACCTGCCGCGATCCAACCAAAGTTTTTTGGAAGCGCTTGGTGGTTAAGTCGCGCTGTGGTCTACTGTGGGCGCGCTCTGGTTTACCTTCCTCCAATCACATCCGAATTCTAAATAAATTCTCTATCTTCTTCTCTACGTCAATGTCTCGAGTATTTTCCAAGTACTGAATTTTCCATTATTCTGAAGACTACTCTTGTTTAATAAATTAACTACATTTTGCTGGCTCGCTAAAGCCTGAGTTTCACCAAAGCAAGTCACAGTACTTAGTACTTACATGAAATTTTCTGTTATGAACTCCTTAAAATTTACGAAGATTCTCCTTTTCGACTTATCGAAATATGTAGCTTTTTTGCTGGCAAGGTTGTCGAGGGGGTATATATTAGTGCATTTTCCAAGTATTTTCCCCTTAGTGCTTACCTTGCATTTACGCACTTGACTCTTCTTAAGTGATGTCATCACTTAGCATGTTATATCTTAAACGTTAATTAACAAATGATATGAAAAATTGTAACGACCGCCTTTGAGGAAATTCCGCCCATAAATAGCTCAGGCTCAACAGAGGGTCCGGAAGATGGTGCACCCGATGCATTTTTTCGAGAATCAAATCCATTAGAGAACCATTATACAGATTAAACTCTTCAAAAATAAATTCAGAGAGGTGATTTCTGAGAGAATTTTTCTTAGAGTTTTTAACGCTTTTGTTAGCATAAATACCTCGGCGCAGTAATTTGAAGCTCCGCGGCTTAATTAGTGGTATCCTAATCCGGGCCATCGTCGCGGCCCTATTCTCAACCAACACCTGGCAGCCTCGCCTTCAACACACCATGGCCGCCAGCGATAGTGATATACAGTTCTTGGGCAACTGGAGCTCCAATTCTCCAGCCTCAACATCCACCTTCGTTTCTGGTTAGTTATCTTACTACTCGTGGGTGGCGGATTGCGATATTGACTGATGAGCGTAGCCATTGTCTTGACTCCTGTCAAGCCTGATAACTCCGGTTGCGATACTCCATTAACCTTTAGTCGAGAAGCTAGCTCAGTGGTGCACGTTGGACGCAACATGAATGAAACCGCCTGTCTTGCTGTTGACAAAGCTGCCTTTACCAGCCCCGTCATGTCGCGCAGCCACGCCAAGATAACATTCGCAGACAGCGGATCTGTGAGTAGTTTACTATCGATGCCTGGGTTTAACCTCATATTAATCGCCAGGTCTTCATCATTGACACCGGATCCTACCATGGGACTTGGGTGGCTCGAGCGTCGGATAAATGTAAACTCGAACCAGAGACCCCGTTCCAGCTCCGAGATGGCGATATTCTCACAATGGGCAAAGAAGTCTTTAAAGATGGCAATGTATGTATTTTATTTTCTTCTTCCGTTTTTTTTTGCCTTCTAAATTCTCTATCCCACTATAGCTCCATCAACCAATCACAGTCTCAGTCAAGCTCCTGCACAGCAATCCTTCAGCGTCCCCCATGTCCATCTCCACTGGCAGTTTGCCTCCTGAAATCCCTTATATTTCTCCTAAGCCGCGCAACACATTTGGCTTGCAC